TACCCGCATTTGTAGCTAGTTGTCTTTCGGCTAGATGGAGTCGCATTTGCTCCAGCTGACGCGTCAAGTCGGCGATTTGGGAGTCTGTCGAGGTTGTGGGCGCCTCGGGCGCATGGTCCTGAGCAGGTCGCTGCTGGATTTGGACCGGTCGCGGTTGTGCTACTGGCTGCGTTTGGAATTCTGGGGTAAGAGTAGTCTCAATCCGGTTACCGAATTCATCAAACTTAGCTTGTGTTGGGTTATAGATCTTCTCGCTCCACGGCTCGAAGATGAGCGAATCAGGATCGAATCTTTTCTTCAAGATATCGACAGTGGCCACAAGGGTCGGCGCCGTATCGCGTGTGCGATTCGCGGTTGGTGTACGCTGGTAAAACCAGTCCTTCATGGATGTCGGAATGCCACTTACGAACATGTAGTTCGCTGTTTCTTGAGTAATTCGCTTCTTCTTGACTAGGTTTCCTGACATCCGCAGAAATTCTCGATAATATGTGTCAACGGCGAGCTTGGAAACAAAAGGAGACTTAGCGGCATTGGATTGGCAAAAGTCCTTCAACTGCTGCTCCGTATAGTTCTGTGCTGACTCTTCGTCAGGATAAACAGCAAGAAGTGCCTTCGAAGCCGCGTTCCAAGTCTTGCCGGCTGCCTCTATGTCGAGCTCGGGTATGTATCGTATGATGTCTTTGACTCTGTCACTGGAGTATTTGTAGATGTGGTCGACTAGTTGGTCCTTATCAACGATACCGGCTTGTATGCCGCACTCGGCGATCTGGGTGAGGAAGTCTTTGGCGTATTGTCCATTGAACTTGGGTGCGTTCTGCGCAGCGGAATCGGCATGGGGGTATGAAGAGTCGCGGTTGCGATTGGGGTCGCCATTTTTTTTCGCTAGCGGCTGAAGTGAGTAATAGAGTTAGGGGTCAAGATGGATAACGCAGCGTTTATAGTTCTCGATAACGGAATACCAGCCCCCTCGCGGTGGGCTCCACTGAAGAAGGCGAACGTAGTCCAAGCGAGGACTACTGTAGAGGCCAAGGTCGTATCGAGTTAATGCTGCGGGTGGAGTAGAAGGGTGGATGTAGTTCTGGAGAAATGTACTCAGCTCTGGGTGAATATATCCTGGCTTGCGCTCGCTATTCTACCCTTTCGCTCACGCAGGCTCAAAACTCCGAGATGAAAGAGGGAAGCCAAGAAGATAAGATTCTCCTATCCGAATCTGAGACCGTAACTATGTGATCGGAAGGGGTACAAACAAATGAAATAAAACTAAATTGGCCATGTGTAAGAGATCCTGGCTCTACACTGACCACATGTCCACACAGAACCATTTTTGGACTTTGATGAATGGGAATGCGCGCTGCTGCCCTCAGCGAAGACGTTGGGGGACCAAGCCAAGTCTTATACCCAGTCCGACTAGCTCTGTGCGTCCAGCGGCAGCTTCGAGTTCGGATATTTTGAGATAGTTGTGGAGTAGGAAGGAGATAGGAATTGAGATGTCGAGTAAATGAGAGGTGGCTGTTATCGCCCGATAAGCGCGACCCGTGAATTGCGCGTGACCGTGGTGGCGACGTGGCGGCCATGAGACACTACCACAATGCGTGCGGGAAGTCATCCATGGAGGCAGATGACTCTGATGAGGTCTGCTCGACGCAGACGCACAATGCTGGGCGCGGTCAGTGGGGTACAAGCAGCAGGTTAAGTAGACGCACTGGCAATAATCTCCGCGTATTTTGAGTATGTCGGGGTGTCCTGTTTGACGCTTAGCAGAAGTTTCGAATGGGAAAGGATGGCGCCGTCCATACAGAAATCCATCTCGATAAGCGTGATCTACATGTCATAATTGCCGGCGCCTTTGGAGGGTTAAACGAGAAAACTTCAAAAGCACTACATACTAGATGTTCGTCGCTCTGAGGTCAAAGTCAGACAATTTTCCTAGACAAAGCCATTGTGATTACCAGGCTAGAATTGTTGAAGGCTGCTGCTGTGCTTCAAGATGTCCAAGGCAGCAGAGACTCCAGCGAGGCGTTTGAAGTACAAGGTTGTTAGCTGTGCAAATGGCGCCTTGGAGGGATGCAGCGCAATGATCTCCACTGAGAGTATTTGTAGGGATCGCAGTTCCGGTGCGTCCAGGATTCGCAGTCGTTTCAACTCCCAGTCACCCTCGGACGCCGCAATCGAAAGACGCTGTAGCATTGGAAATTGTGATCCAGCCAAAAACAGCTGGGCCAGCGTCTCCATTGGCACGCTTAGTGAGACGTCTCGCCAGCGAGATACCAGCGGGAGTAATGTCTGCGCCGTAATCAAGAAAGGCTGTCACATGAAGTGTAAGGGGGAGGACATTAGCGCGTGCAATCCATAGTTTTGTGAGATTAATCAGCTCAAAGCTGCTCTACGAATGTGCTTCCGTAGTCCGAGTTGTTGTCGTGGGACATGCGAGCGTTCCGAGCAGCGCAATGCTCCCGGGTTAGGCTCCCTTCCCAGTTGTCGTTGGATCTAACGGGGATTTGGAGAGCCTCAGCAAACAAGAAAACGTTAACGATAGAGAGGACGAGGGCCTTGCCCTGGACCCACCCTGCCGGGGGCCTCTGCTCGCCGCAGGGCCCGCTGCGCGGAGCACTCTTCTCTTCCCTCCTCCCCTCTCTCACTTTCCTAGGTGCTCTGGAGCTTTTTATCACGTAGTTACGGCGCGGCCGGGGTTTTCCACCCGGACCCCACGCTGCCGCGGAGGCCTGCTGCGCAGCTCGTGAATTGATCCTGAGCTGATTCCCGAGGTCATAGGAAGCATGCGTCGAGTGCATCAATCCCACTGATCACCCTTGCTTAAGGGCTGATCAGTGGGATTGGACTCGATCAGTAGGACTGGTTTGGGGTGGCCCAGTCCCAGTCCCACTGATTTCGTCACCCCTCATACTGTACTTGTCGATATCGCAGGCACCCACCGAGTGTACATATTCGTCTCCATAGTGAAATGCGAGGTGGACATTCAAAAGATCCAATGCAGGGAAGTAGCTGGCTATGGATGCCAGCTTGCTGCTAGTGTCGCACCCCTCTAGCACTGCAAGCGTCAGATCCGTGACTGCTCCAAGTGCGCGTAGGAAGGGCAGCAAGGGCGAGCAGCAGGGCTGGCGATCGGGTCCCAGTAGCGTGAGCTTGTCAATGTTGGCCAGCGGAAGGATAAGCAATGCCAGCTCAAGCGTGGCTTGTAACTGTGTCAAAGTACGGAATGTGCATGGCAAATCGCGGTCCGGAGGGGCTACCGGGGAGGGAATGTTGTCGGTCGTGAGTATCAGGGACTCCAGCCTAGGAAAGGCGGTGTTGAGCAAGGTGGCGAGTTCACTGGTCTCCGAGCCTCTGATACTAATTGTGAGGTGGGTGGTATTCAGGAATATCGGGAGTACGGCAATTCCGCCCTGGCAGTGTAATGCCAGACTTGGCGCTGCTGCTTCCCATCGTATCTGCTGCGCGCAAACGCTGAGGCTACAAGGTTCAGCCAGGAGCTCGGTTCGCTGCAGTCGAGTATCAAGCTGCTGATGGATATTTTCTGGAGGAACATAGAGCTGGCGAGAGAAGGGGGGGATTGCACAGTTGATGAGGAACAATGTCTCGAGTGATTGTAGCTGGGCGAGCGCACCAAGCGCCGCGGTCGTGAATTCTATCTGTTCAGCCTTGAAGTAGCGAAGATTGCCGAAGCGGGGAGTGTCGTGAGTACGCTATGGAGCATAGAATGAATCTCGTCCTCGTCGCTGAACCTGACATCGCTGAATTTGTACGAATACCCAGAGTAGCAGCTAAGCAGGTTGACAGAGATGCACTTGACGCACAGCGCCACGCTATTCGACCCAAACAGTCCCAGTTTATCCTCCAACTGCTGCGTTTGCTCCGTCGTCAAAGGTATAGGGCAGGAACGAGAGGTTGGTGAGTAGGAGTGTGCGAGCCAAAGAGCAGAAGCGCCCGATGCACGGGCGACATTGTGCAGGTCATCCCTTGACGCTCGTCGGAAGACGTCGAGGAGGAGCTCGTTGGGCAACACGGTTGTTAGGAGAGAAATGGTTGCCGCGTGAGAGCGTCACTGAGCGTGTGACAGCCGACTGGGATGCCAAGCCACTGCGCTCAACTTGAAAGACAGGTCTTGCTCTCAAGCTCCTTCTCCAGCTTAATACAGTCGGGTATCGGAGGACACAGTGCAGCATTCTGCGCTCAAAGGACTACAATGGTGCCCAAAAACCTTCACGGCCAACGTGTCCACGGACATGAATTTGATGGCTCCCTGTGCACGTGCATCAGCATGGTCCGTGCGCCGCCCGCCAAACACGGGTCATCGCCCTTCTTTTCCGCCCACTTTCCCCCCACACGGTCTGAGCCGACCTTGCGATTCTGCCCTCGGTGGCCCGCGCTGGTGTCGAGGAAGGAACAGCCTGCTTTCGAGGCAGGATGGACATGGGATCAGGCGCTTCAAAAATAAAATGTGGCTGGCGGGTGGGCGCCAGCGCACGCGGCTCCTTGTACATCGTATTTGTCCGTCGTCGTGGCACAATTTTTTATCTTCCTTGACCCGTCTCGGCGGGTCTCATGGTTGTCGTGTGCAGAGGGACAAGGTGTGTTGTGCACTTGATACTAGTAATTGGGGCTCACCCATTGTCAGTGTAATAGACGTTGTTGTATCCGTGCACTACTAATCAACATATTGCCAATTTTCCCCCAAGAATGGTGCAGTCGCCGTTATTCGACCGATCCTCTGCGTCGTCCACTATGCGCTGGCATCTGGCTGCCAACAGCGTTGTCCCGCATCGGCGTCGCGTCTTTTCGCTGGTAGGCACTTGCAGCGATGTTATACAGCATTTTGCGGAACACTGGCGCTTCCAGTTGATTGATTCCCGCGGTCGCCAGCTGACTCATCCCCGCATCTTGCTTCTCACTCTCATGGACGACCCGCCCTTCCCCGCGAGATCGAGCTGCACATCTTCCGCGAGGCGGCGCTGCAGCGGCCGCGGGGCATCCCAGTGTTGATGCGCGTAGCGTGGTGGGTGAAAGAGTGGTGCGTCCGGCAATGCGTACTTTGGTCCGTTTCTCTCGCTGACCAGCTGTGGCCGCCAGTGTGGAGCCGCTGCTGTACAACGTCTTGAGTCTTCGGGATCCGGAGGCTGGTCCGACTCTCAATACACCATTCCCAGTCTTGTCGCCGTCTGCCTTCAGGGCGCTCATCGAAGACCCCCGCCGGCAGGCACATTCATCGCGCAGTCGACCGGTCTGCGTCTCGACGGAGAGCTCTCCTCGTCTGAGACTAACAGTATTCTGAACTCCTGCCCCCACCTCCAAGATGTTGTCATTCTACCGCGTGGTCTCATATTTAGCACGGCAGACGTGCTCGGAACTCTGCCCAACCTCCGGCGGCTCACCACGAACCTGCTCTCGCTCTACATGATGACCGCATCTCCCGACCTCTCCGCGCTCACGCGCATCACACACCTCCACCTGTCGTTCTACCACCGCTGGCCGCAAGTCTGGCCGCCGCTTCTGGCGCTTCGTGCGCTGACGCATCTCGCCATCGATACAAAGGAGTGGTACCACGACATTCTGCAGAGGGACGCCCCACCGCTCGACATGTTGCTGGACGTGCTGTCGGATCCACATCGGCGGTTGAATGTATTCGTCCTGTCCTACCAGCGCGTTGGGAAGGTGCCGCTCGACGAACGCCTCATAGAGCACCCTGCGTGCCTCCTGGTCCACCAGGGGATCGGCTGGCCGGAGTGGCAGGATGAGTGGACAGGCGGCGCGACTAGTGCGGGGTTCTGGGAGCGCGTGGATAAAATGCTTGCGGAGCGTCGCTCAGCGGGCGCCCCAGGGAAATATGACAATGATTGGTAGTCCTTCTAGTGGAAAATATTCTGTAAACTATTGAATCGGAATCCTCCAAGTTATCAGTGCCTTCAAGTGCGTCCACTTCTCACACGGAAGCGTGTTGTCATATGCGCGTCTGTCACAGTCTCCTCAGTTCTGTGAAGCACACGAAATCAACCGTATGCGGCACACCTAGTACCGCGTCCCGCAGGACATTATACGCCTCCGCAACCTCGTGGAACGCCGGCGTCGAAGGACATTATACGCCTCCGCAACCTCGTGGGAACGCCGGCGTCGACTGGTGGCCGGGCACGTCGGGGTGGTGCCGCTTGCTCAGCTACACCTCCGCAGATAAGTCCCGCGCACGCACAGCCGACACAGCGGAGGGACCCACCGCGAAGAAGGCCGTCTGCCAGCGTGACCCTAACCCTCAACGCGAAGGCCTGCACCGTCCTGATGCCCCGCCTCGACTCGCTCGGGGTCGTTCCCGCTAGCTCCGCTCCGCGCAGGGTCCTGGGCTCATTGGACAGATGTTCTCCTGACCCGCGACGGCCCGGGTGGGGACCGCTTTGGCAAGCCATACCGTGGCTGGTGGTATATACTGTTCGTGCAAGGGCGTTGCTCCGTCAAGCCTAGTTCAGGAGTGAGTGAGCGGCGGCCGCGGGACGAGAGAATGATGTGGTGGAAGAGTGGTGCCGCTGGTGCGTTTCCTGCAGCTTCCTGTGCACTCGATATCCGACTTCCCGTCTCTGAGTTGGTTTTCCGATTTGCGATTGGAGATTCGGAGCCAGAAGGGGATCTCTGGTCATGGATTCACATCCTCGATCTTGCCATGCTGGTCAAGTTCACTTGGTGCATTGACAAGCGTCTGCTCAGCCTTGCCAGGTTGTCGCGCGAAGATGTCGTGTTCCCGCGGGTGCGACATCTTGTATTGCGGATCCAGAATTCATTGGTGTTAACCCACTCTGGCATCGAGCAGCTGCCGCACCTTCCCGGGACTCGAACAGCTGTGCGTTCAGGTCATCGATGGGCCTTATAACACAGAGATGGCCGCGAGCGAGCCAGCTTGTGTGCTTCCGTGTGTGCGCGAGCTGACCACAGCCTGCAAAGTGTTGCCTGCAGTTCTCCCATGCACACCATTTGTGAACAAACTGAAGATTTGGAATGAAGCTGCCGGGAGACTGCTGTTTACGCTCCAGCGCATCGAGAGGTATATTCCGCCCACGATAACTAACGTAGCATTGCAGTCGGATAATGGCAATTACTCCCTTTGGTCCGGGATCCTTGCCTTCTTCCCGAACCTGCGCACCCTCGATTTCCGTGTCAAAGAGTCCAGCGGTGATTCTCGGCCAAGCGAGGTGAATTCTGTCCTGTTATCTGCGGCCTTGATCCTATCAACACCGTTCTCCAGGCCCCTCACTTCCTCGCCAGCCTATCGACCATCCTTCCGCCCACTCTCGAAAGTCTCCGTGTCCATATTTGGTCCTCAAGGGCTGTCCTTCCCGGGGGGCAAACGGGAAGAGTGGGATTGAGCCGTCTTCCAAGCGCGGATGAGCTCCAGGCAGAACTACTGAAAGGGTGTGGCGGTCCACGGCAGATAGTTATCCGTGGGTCATTCCTGGACTTGCAGTGGACCAGCGATTGAATCTATCGCCGACTCGGACATGTGTTTGGACTCGTGCATGCCTAACTTCGATAATATTTCTTTGATTGGTAAGACGACAGGGCATTCCAGCATGTTGTCGAATAGATATGACAAGCATCAAATGACCGTTGCCGAAAACACAGTCATGCGGGGGGACAGCTCAGTGCGGAAGAGCTTGCTGGTAAGTGCACGTTGAGTGGACGACAAACTAGAGGATCCGTAGATTCAGCGCGTTAAGTACAATTGTCGTGGGCGTCAAGATACTGGCGGCAAGGAAGCAAAAGCGCGGGCCAGTGTCGTTGGACGTGTCGCGCAAGAGCCGGTCCGCGAGGCGAACGCGCGACCGGAGCTACACACCAGGGGATATATGGACCGGGCCGAGGGCTGGATTTCTAAGGCGAAGGAAGAGCCGTGGGGGGTGGCAAACTTGTAGATGCAGCGCAGCAACGGCTAGCAACGGCGGCGGCGGGCGCGGCGCAAAGCGGGTGGAGCAAGAAAGCTGACGAGCACGGGGAGTGGCATTCGACCATAGTCCTGGACGCACTGCCGGCCCGAGTTATGAGAACGAGCAGGGCGATGTCTGGAGTAGAAATGCACCCAGAGAAATTGGGCCTCGGATTGTCGTTCAGGCGCGGGAGTGGCCCGCCAGCTGGAACCCCTAGTGCAATGTGCAACATCTGGGTTATAGCCCAAAGGGGCAATGCACAACATATGGGATATAACCCAGTTTTCTCTGTCGCAAGTATTTCTTTATTAACTTTTATCTCTTTTGACTATTTTAGTGTCTTATGTCAGGTGAATGGTGATGGGATCAGTGTTCCTAATGTAGTATATTGATTGTGGAACCATTTTCCTAAGAGATCACTGATTTTGATGCCTGTGTGATCTTACATCACCCCCACTTGATTTAATATTGATTCTCTTTTTGTGCTACACTAAGCCCATAATATTACATACCGAGTCTTCGGCCTGAAGAAATGGTGATTTACCCTCCTATATATGATCTTATATTAGTCATATCATGTTCCCTTAATATAATATATCAAAATATATGCATAGCCCATATGTTGTGCATTGCCCCTCTGGGCTATAACCCAAATGTTGCTCATTGCCCCAGCTGCAAGGGGTGGGCCCGCAGGGTGCGCTAGGTATCGTCGTGCAAGCGCATCGTCGTCGTGGAGCGGAGGAAAGAAACCAGAGATTGATGTCACGGCCGCCGAGCCCGGACCTGATGCCGATCGCCAGTGCCACGTAAGCAGCCACGCCTTGTCTTCTCCTTCCATGTTGCGCTGGAGACGGTCCCGCCCCTGGTCGGGAGCGGCACGAATGCTATGCTTGAGCCACAGCGCGAGTAGGAGCAGGGATGGGCTGCGACGGTCGATTTGGCGTGGCTTGAGGTGCGTGTTGTGCATTCAGTCTCTATTTCGCTGATCTACTCCCCAGTAATCCCTCACTTTTCGCTGGCGAGTCTGACACCCAGGGTGGCGGCCTCTACTGGGCGGAAACAAGCGGCGTGAAATCAGCCGCGGACGGCCCGGATGGCAAGCAGCAGGGCACAACCAGGCGGGGACAAGGTGCGTGTGCTATTTCGTCCCGTAACTGGGTCCTGATAGTCGCCTACGCGTGTTCAAGTTTTTCACGGTGCGTTACCCATGTCTTGCTCATCACGCAGAGCCAATCGCTCATTTCACTAATAGGTCTACTGCCCCCACCGACGGCGCTCCGCCTTCCGCAGACACCACCGGCCCGTTCGCCCGACGCTGCAATCGATTCCCATTCCACTCCTCTCCACCTGCCCCCATGTCCTCTCCAGTCCCCGTCTTTCGACGCAAAAGCGATGCCCTTCCGCCGGTTGGGCCCCAGCGGTCTGCGCGTGCCGCTCTTCTCTCTCGGCGGCTGTCCGTCTTTGCGCATTCCCCATTGGCTTTAGCTGAGCTCTCGACAGGGCTCACCCTCGGAGGCTCCGTCGTCGGCGAGAGGCGTCAAGGACATCATGCAGGCCGCCTTCGAGAATGGGATCAACATGTTCGACACCGCGGAGGACTACCAGAAAGGTGCGGCTGAGCGCGAAATGTGCGTTCCCTGAGATTCCCTTCTGACCACGCTTTCTCTGACTCCAGCAAAATCAGGGGACACGCTATCAAAGAACTTGGCTGGCGCCGCACGGACCTCGTCATCTCAACCAAGATATTCTGGAGCCACGAGCCAGGCACGGGCCCGAACGACACGGGGCTGTCGCACAAACAGTGCGCCACCTTCCTTTCCTTCCTACAACTCTGACTGGCAACAGCGTTATCGAGGGCACGAAGGCTTGTTTGCGACGGCTCCAGATGGACTATGTCGACGTCATCTTCGCGCATCGTTGCGATACCACCGGTGGGTTTCTTACATTCGCCATAAGGAGGTCAACTGACGCAGGCTAGTTCCGATGGAGGAGATCGTCCGCGCATTTAACTATGTTATCGACCAGGGCTGGGTGAGTGGTGGATTTTGTCTATCCATATCCACTAAGATTCACACGCAGGCTTTCTACTGGGGCACCTCCCAGTGGAGCGCACCAGATCGAGGAGGCGCATCGTGAGCGTGTACCTCTCCCGAGACCTCCCGTCGCTTACCCGCAGCACAGATGTTGCCACGCGCTTAAACCTCATCGCGCCCGATCGGAGCAGTGCAAGCACAAGTCTGCGCCATCTTCTTTCTTCCTTCGAAATAATGCTGAGGAGACGATAGCATGTTCCACCGCGAACGTCCGGAGAAGGAATACACGTGCGTGGGCAACCATCAAACTTCAGCAGTAGCTAATGCTGACTTTGTAGCCCTTTGTACGCCAAGTACGGCCTGGGCACAACCGCATTCTCTGCACTGCAGGGCGGACTGCTGACGGGGAAGGTATATCCTCCTCAACCCTCTAACACGTAAACTAACTTTGCTAGTACAACGACGGCATCCCAGACGGCACGCGCTTCGCCACCGTGCCCATGTTCCCCTGGGGCGACGGAGGGTCCCCAGGGCGAAGAGCTGCTTTGGAAAGTGCGTCTCCTCAGCCAAATTGCTGCGGGTGCGTCGTTTCTCCCCGACTTGCTGAACTCTGGGCGGAACCCGCTGGCGCTCGCGTGGGTTGCGGCGCACCGCCACACTTCCACAGTCATCCTCGGCGTGTCCTCCGTCGCACAGCTCGAGGCGAACCTCGGCGCGCTTGAGGTCCTGCCCAAGCTGGATGCTGCGGTGTTGGCGCGGATCGAGGCTGTGTTGGGTAACCACCCGCAGGAGCCGGTGCGTATTTCTCTATCCAATGATGAGGTGGATAATGCACTAATGATGTTGGTGTAGGAGACGTATGGTCGCCCGCCGCTGGATCAGGGCATCCTTTGACTCGGTGCAATATCACCCCTATCTTTCCTTTGACCACAAGATCAGCTCAAGTAAGGAAGAATACAAATGCCACTCATTCTCTCGTTTATCAATATTGAATATCTTTTGTGATCTGGTGTGCTCAATTCGTATGTGTCTATATCATGATTATGCGTCCTTTGTCCACTGGAGGTTGAGATGGAAGGGTGGTGCAAGTATCGAAATCCAGCTCAGATTGGGGCAACGGGCGAAGCAGCTGCCTCCGTAGCACTTGTCCTGTCTGCATCACCAAGGTGTCGGACGAGGAACCGCTCCGGGGCCACGGCGAGAGAACATACTCGTGTCCGAGTACTTGACTTCGAGCCGCTGCAAACCCAAGGGAAGACTAGCCGGGAAGCCCGTGAGGAAGGCGGCAGGCTGTGATAGTATTGAGTAGGGTATGGGCACAGTTCGGATGACGACACTTAGGAGACATTCACTTACGGCGGGCACGCGTCCGGACAGCATCGTTACGGTGAAGTCGAGGGTATGCAGGTGCGGAAAATGTGCAAAGACCGCGCCCCACACGGCAAGATCGCCGTCCTCCGAGTCGCATTCGAGGGTGAGTGTCGTGATTGTCACGGGGATGCACTGCCTATTGCGCTGCAGCACGGACACTAAGCTTGTGGCATCAGCGTTTTCGACATGCAATGTGTGGATAGACGGTGCAATCCGCAGGAGGAGGGGTAAAGCTTCACTGGCTTCATACGTGGTCGTGAGCTTGAATACAGCGGGAAACAACGGTTCGCCGCCGTTAGGGCCATCCCACGGCAGCCCCGGATCGTCCACATAGAGTGCCGCCTCGACACTAAGCTGCTCAACTGCGGGAAAGGCCGCTTGCAGCTGCACACAGCCAGAGTAGGTTAGCAACGCGCCGCAGCCCTCGGAGAGTCTAAGCGCCAGGTGTTTTACGTGAGGTAGCACACTCGTAAGCCCTTCCACTGGTTGATCCATGTCCAGGCTGACCGCGGAGAGTGTGATGGGCTCAAAGCGCGAACCATTCTGAGAGCGTGCACGTGGGACTGTATGCTGCCGAGGTGGCGACTTTGACGCTTGAGACACGGATACGGATGTCGAGTGCGTTAATAGCGGCACGAAGGAATGCCTGGATCTCGGAGTCCACAGAACAGGCAAAGAGATCCAGCTCAATCGGGCCGCGGACCTGCGCAAGGTTGGCGAGCGCAGAGAGCGTGAATATGAGACTGTGGCCATAGAATTTGCGTAGGTTAACGAACTTGGAGATGCCGGCGAATAGCACGTCACAGATGGTGTGCGTGCCGGCTACATCGTTGAATACTGCGTCTCTGCTTCTTTCGGCGAAGCCATTCACTTCCTCCCAGGCGACATTGATGCAGTGCACATACGGCGCAATGGCGGGGGACATGAAGAAGGCCAGTTTTGCGATGGCATCCACCACCTCATGAGCAGGTGGGAGCTTAAGGATGGCGCCGCCTGACCAGGCAATGCGCTCCTCCGCGGGCGCATATGGCTTCACGGCAAGCTTGCTGTAGAGGAATGGGCGGGCAAGCAGGCGCAGGCGACGAGAAGCAAGAGCGACGAGCTTGAGCTGGGCGGGCGACACATCTTTGAGCACTTCGTGAAAGAGTTCGTTCGGAAACATGGAGCGACCAGTTGCAGCCAAGCTGGAAGTGAAGAGAGGAAAGCGCTGCCACATATTGACAGCGCACACGTGTGCCCAGCCAATCGGCGTGCCCGGCGCGGGAGCTAATCATGATGTGATCGCCCAGTCACATCTTACGCAATCGCCTCCCTTTTTGTTCCTGACGCCCATCTCGACGCACAATGCCAGCCTTTGCAGCACACCTGCGGCGCCAGCTGGCGCAATGCTACGGCAACACTAACCGATACGCATGCGCCAACCACCCCTTCTCCAGTCGCCAACTTCTCCGGGAGTCTAAATCTGTGGCGACACTGTGCTGCTGGAGATCTTTGCCTGGCGTGTTACGCTGTCCTCGCTTTCCCGACATCACTGACCGAGCGCACCTTTTTTACAAGCCCACTCTTATCCTAGCTTATTCTCTGTCTTCAGACACCAGTCATCAAATCGACCGTATGCTCTACCCGAGCAGGAATACTAGCAACTGCCTCGGATTTCCCAACCGAACTTGGACCGCTGCCCCTGGTATGCAAAATGTGGTCTGGGCCATACTGGATTCTCCTCCGCGCTGCAAGCTTGGACCTTGGCTTGTGCCCAACCACTGGCAGTCCTTTGATGCCCGCGCCGCAGCCACCTCAGCTTCCTGACGCCCAACTCGGTCAGCACCATCTTGCGCACATCGACAATGATCATCATCTTCCAGCATATGGACCTGCCGCTGGAGAGTGGTCATCTTCGGATTTGTTCCTCCACTCCGGTCCGGTATTTATACTAATAACTATGCAGCGTGTGTGCAACAGCACTGTCGAGGACACGAATTAACTCGTCTCGATGCAAAATGCCAGCCTCAGGGGCAGATCTACGCAACACTAGCCGATACACATGCCCCAACAACTCCTTCTCTGGATGCCAACTTATTCGAGAGTCTAAATCTGTATTGAGACTCTCCGCTGAGACGAAATTGCTAACACAGGACTTACACCGGCGCATCGATTCCGACTCTGTGGGTCCGGACTTGGCAAATCAAACGTCGACGCAACTTGAAAGCTCACGCTAACGGGTCTGCGCGCTGGCCATCCGGAGACGATCGTGCCCCGTGGTGCTGCTTGCCATCCGCCTCAGCGCTATGGAGGATAATCCGTACACCTGACACAATATCACACCAGGCGCCTGCCAGGCTACCGATTCCGGCGGATTGGTGGCCGCCGCGCTTGCGGTTGGCTTATGCCCAACTGTGGCCGGGCCGTGGATGCTATCGCTGCGGGCCGCGTCAGCTTCCCCACGACGATCTTAGCTGCCGACCGGCGCATCGACATCAACTCGACGACGCGCCGCTGAAGAGCATCCTAACTCGGAGGCGTGTTCGAGCTGCCCTGACGTCATTGGCGTCTTCATCAAGATGTTCTGGAGCGGTGGAGCAACAACACGGACATGGGCTGTTTTGCGCAAGCAGTGCGCTATCTTTATTCCTCCACTCTGCACCGGTATTCATGCGATGCAGCCCGTGGGCAACAACGCTGTCCATTAGCGCCTCCAAATGATGCGCGCAGCAGATTGACCTCGGAGAAGCCGCACTGTATACTTCTCCAATGCTCAGTGTGCTCTTCCACCTTATCGGTCTTCTGAAAGCACTGATCAACCGACAGTGTGTTCCACCATACTGCATCTGCATTCGACCCTCAAGCATCTATCCCCGCGGCCCATGTTCTGCGGGATCACGGACATGCCGCCGCGGGCGCGGCGCACTCCTCAGCCCGCCCGGCAGGTGCGTCGCGGATGGGGACCCACCTGCGTACCGTTTTGTTGACGTCGGTGGGGCACCGGACTGGTCCCGGGTCCTGCATCTCGTCTCCTGCCAGGGACGCTGTTCGTTAGCCCCGGGAGAGCGTCTTATGTGCCTTGAGCTGCTTAATTGCCAAATTAATGTGTGGATGCATCAATGGTCCCCGCGTGCGGCGACAGATACCAGCGGCGGAGCTAGCTCCACACGTAGCCTGTCTGTGTCCGAGTCGGACACCATCATCTGTCTCCTTCACTCCAATGCCCAGTGATCCACTGAGATCAGCACTGAAGAGCCTCGTGGATTTTTACAAAGAGATGTGCATATGGGCATGGTCTAATACCTCAGCTGCAGGAGCGGAACCTCAATCATGATATGATGCATTGACGGGCAGCGTGGCGCAACTGCGCCAGCAGCCTGTCGGGGTCGGGCACCGCGGTTCGCGTTCGGCGCAATCACTGTGTCCGCGTCGGACTGCCGGGATGACCTTCCCATCACACTGAGCCCTTTAAGTGTGGACGGAAGACGCGGAGGCAGTGACGCAACAAGGGCCAATACCTGCGACTTCCAGATCAGTGTAGGATACTGACCTATTTCATTCAATTAGGCGGGTCACGGTCACATCGGATTTTTTGGCCGAAATATTTTGGCGGGTCACGGGTCACAGCCAAATCTTTTGGTCCCAAACTGTCCTAATCGGGAAGATTTCGAAATTTTCGGCGCCTGCGGGCGCCGAACTTCCCAATCGGGTAATAGGTCACGCGAAATTCGGCCTGTGGCCGGTAGTGGACATTTCGGCCAAACGGTCACGGGTCACAGGCCCGCTGAATTGATCGAAATGGGTCAGTATTCCCTCCCCCCAGCTCCCCACACACACCAAGCAAGCAAGCAAGTAAATAATCACCACGACTCAACATTGAACTCCCCCACGTGACGGTGCTAGCCCAAGCCAAAGCTTTTGATACCTGATGTCACGCATCACACCAGACCAGTCTTGAGGCTTGGAGTTGGTGCAAGTCCAACCTAAGCTCAAGTTAACTTCAAGGCCCATTGAAACTGGGCCTGACCATAGTCATATGCCTGTCAGGGGAACCCCCACTTCGGCCTCCTTCAGACCATCCGAGCGCATCCGAGGCACATCCGACCGGCGCCCCCTCGGACGCTCCGACCTACCCCAACCCTCGTCCTCGGCCTCCTTCGCCCGCACAATCACTGATCCGTCAAGACCCTCCCAACGATCACCTTGGGACAGAGCCTGCAACGCCGCTCAGCTCAGGCTTTCTGCGCTCTACGTCGGCAGTTACGGACGACCAGTATATAGTTGGCGCCCTAGCAGGCAGACCCTTAGAGTTTCTTCTCTTTGGATCCTCCCCTGCTAGGTCGGTCCCTCCGTGTATTTCCTGTAGCTTTTATTCACGTCTTGGATCCTCCCCTGCTAGGCTTTCGTCGGAGTCTCCAGGGTTGCCCTTACAATGCCATCCAGACAGCTGGTAGACCGACTGTGCTATGCTGCTGGTTCGCCGCCTGTTAGTGTTACTCAGACAATTGCTGAGTAAGCAGTGTTCTGAAACAGTGTAACGCTGT